TCCTCTTTTGAAACTGGAGCAGTGAGATGGGGAAGCTGAAAGAAAGACACAAGTTCAAGAAAAGCAACATGGCGAGAGACATAAAAGCGACGAGAGATGGAGTTATAACAGCGATAGCATTTCTGAGTAATACTGAGACTGTAACCCAAAAAGGCACATATGACAGACCAGGCACTTAGTTTGGTCCTATCTTTACAGGGAAGAAGGACAAAACAAGCAAACCTAAAAACACGTAGAAGGGAATAATTAGGAGGTTAGGAATACAGAGCCTCATAAGGAGATCGTCCAGAGAGAAACGGAGTCGATATGCAGTTGAGTAGAAAAGCAGCAGTAAGAACTGCCTCACCTCAGAATGGTACCGGAACAAAGGCAAAGAGAATGAGAGATCAAGCTACATCAAGGAGATGACGGTGTTTACGCTCAACATGACCATTTTGGACAGGTATATCAGTACAGAAAGTTTGATGAAGGGTATCCAAATTGACCAAATACTCATAGAATTAGATTTTAAAGTATTCATTACCCAAGTTAGACCGTAGCATTTTAATTGTAGTCCTAAACTGTGTAATGATCATAGACTGAAAGGTATGGCAGATCGAGTAAAAGTCAGATTTATGAGCCATCAGATAAACCCAAGTATAACGGGTACAATTATCAATAAAGGAAACACAATATGCAGAACCCCCTTTAGTAAGAACAGGAGAAGGTTCCCAGGCATCAGTATAGACAAGAGAAAAAGGGAAAATAAAAATAGAGAAACTTTTATTAAAAGATAAAGCTATCATTTTAGCAAGTTTACACCATCGACATTCATTAACATGACTAGGAAAAACTTTACCCAACAATCCTGACTGAGTTAAAGACCGTAAACGATCAACTGACAAATGACCGAGGCGAGAATGCCATAAATAAAACTGACTCGATTGAGAATCTAACTGAAACGATAAAAATGCAACGGGAGAGGTAGATAGAGGAAGATACAGGCTTTCCACCATATGAGATTTCCAACTTTACGGGCGGTCGCAACTGCTTTTTGAATGCTCAATCCTACACACAATAAACAGAAAAAGAAAATATAACATCTAAACCAGAAGTATCAAGTTGACTGATAGAAAGAAAGCTGACAAATAGTTAAGGAACATAAAGAACAGAGGCCCCGTTTGTTTTGGGTTACAGGGAGGGGATTGGGATTCATAGTGAGGTGGGACTCACTAATATCATGTTTGTTTTGAGAGATGGAGAGGGAATTCGTAATCCCCTCCGGACTACAAATCCCCTTGGGGAGGGGATTAGGATAAGCCTAGGGAAGATGGTATTAGAAAAATAGTGAGGGAATTAGAATTTTTTTTTATTTTTTATATATTGGGAATTTTTTTATAAATATTAATGTTTAATTTTTTTATATTTTTTTATTTGTTTTATTATTTTATATAAAAATAATTTAATAATTCCTACACTAACAACTATCATCAAAACAAACACAATTTTACTTAATGCCCTCACTATCAATCCCCTCACTAACAATCCCCTCACTATGAATCATCTTCATTCTATCTCTGAAAACAAACGGGGCCAGAGGGAATAACAGCAGCAGACATGGCAGAAGGTAAAAACCCAATGGATAAGACAGACATACCAAACCCATTAGCAGTATTAATAGTAATAGAAAAAGGATGAAGGATACAGTTTTAGAGAAAAGAAAAGTGAGGAGTCATATTATATGAGAGTCACCAGAATCAAAAAGCCAAACAGAAGAAGGAATACCTGAAGAGAACCCAAGTAAACCTGAATGAAGAAAGGTGAGAGCAGAGATAGATGAAGATGACTGAGAGGTGGACAAGATCTGCTGAAGTTGAGCAAGCTAAGTACTCAAGGAAACCAAATCAGGACCTGGAGCCGGAGTGGATGCAGTATAAGCAGAGGGAGGCTAGAAAGAACTCTGAGTAGGAACTCGGGACTGAGACTGCTAAGAAGATGAACGTCCCTTCCTTGGACAGTTGTACTTCCAATAACCCTTCTGATGGCAGAAAACACACTCATCTGATACTAAGGGCCTTTCTTTTTGGCTTGGCAGAAGGCTAAAGCTGAGAAGGAGTCGCCAATAGGAGTGGTTGTGTAGGCGCTAAGAAAATCAAAGGGGACACGGTCTGACTGGCCGTCTTGAGACGGGTTTCCTCAGAAAGGAGCTCACGAACAATATCATCTACAGAAGGAAGAGGAGACCGATGAAGAATGCCATCACGGACAGCCTCATACTAAGGGGAGAGAGCTATTAAGAACTGTACTAAATGACCCTGCTCCTAAAACTCAACATAAGCATCGAGACTCTTAAGGCTAGACGGTTTCATGAGAGCCAGCTGATCCTAGAGGCTTGTCATCTCAATATAAAAGTCCTGAATAGATGTATCCCGCTTGCGACCACCCTGAATATCTATTTCCAATTCATACCGTTTGGCAAAATTGGACTGCTGATAAACACCTTGTATATACTCCCATACTTCTTTTGCAGTACAGTATTTGGACATGATCACCCCAATTCGGTCATTTACAGAGTTATGAAACAAGGTTAGAATTGCCACAATCTTAAGTGTCACAGGAAGTCAAATAATCTTCATTTTTCGGGTTCGATGGACGAGGAACAGAACCAGATACATAGCCCTATTTTTTCTGACCAAGAAGAAAATTCTTCATAATACTAGCTCAATAAACATAATTGTCACTAGTGAGTTTGCACTTGATGGCCTAGATTTTAGTGTCCGACATTGTAATAAAACAAAGATGATGGGTCGAAGTATAATGTCTCAAAAAATTGATACCAAAAAACCAAAAAATCATAAACCAAGGGGCTAAAGTGTGAAAAAAAGATAAGTAATAGGTCAAATAGCAAGTCCAGAGAAACTAAGACACAGAGATAACTACCACGAATACAGAGAGAACTAAGAGAGAAAGAGACACACCAAATCCAGATGCAGCAGATGAAGGAACAGAAAGACCGTGATGATGTATCGACCCAAAAGAGAAATCGAGGCCAACGAACTAGAAACAGAGGCCAACCAACTAGAATCAGAAACCAAATTGTCAGTCGAACAGACCCGACAAACCACAATGTGTGTTCGAGTATCCAAACCATAGAGAGAGACACGATAGATCCCTGAGTAGTGACTTCAGACCAAGCACCAAAGGATTGTCGCGACTTCGAAGAAGACCAGAGAACAGAGAGGCCTTCATGACTTTAGAGAAGCCTAAAGAAGACTTCGAACAACAGGCGTGAACGCAGAGAAAGAACTTCAAATAATCAAGGCCAGACCTAGGGTTTCGAACGTGACTCTGATACCATGTAAGATTTCTGTATATTGTATATTCAATTGTGTATTTGATTACAACAAGACCGTAGATTATATAGTCCTAACTCCTAAACCAAAAAAGAAAAACACAATCACACCTCAATCACGCCTATACACAATCACGACTATAATATGTACAACCATAATCATGCCAAATATAGAATATACACAATATAGTCTCCCAATCTCTACCTTGGGCAGTGGAGGCGAAGGGCATCTCCTCATTTTGACAAGGCATACTAATTGGGTTTGGACAATAAGATCATTATCAGATAATCTTGGAAGGAATTCTATCCTAGTCATAACAATAGGCTTACACTGATCGGGATCCTATTCTTGGGACATCTCAATTTAAATATTATTTTAAACTCCTCATCTATAAAAGGAGAACTCGTCCCATCTTAGTCATCAATCCATCAGACTCTGTATTGTGGGTTTCAACAAAATGCTAGTGTTGCTCTTCAACCAAGTGTCTCTAATGCTCTCAACTCTCTGTTTACAGTATCCATCTCTCTACTTTGGCTTTGGTACCCTCTTCAGAAAGAAGAAAAGAAAGAACACACTGTTGTGTTTGAGGCTTAGGCATCATTCATATGCACTAAACCTAGGTCCAAGCCAACATGTCTGATTAATAATAATGACGACTTCTAAAAGTGAAGAGTACATGAATGCAAGTCTGCAACTCAATAATGAAAAGATGTGAATGGAGCCGCTGAGTTGTTTGCATGAACAAGGAACATAGGGATGATGGATAACAGCAGTCTAAATTTCCATTCTGAAGCCTCAGAAATAGCACAAATGGATGGTAAATACTTGTGCCCAAGAGCAAGAGGAAGTGCCTACTGTACTTTGTATGGGAAGGAACCAAAAAAAGGAAAATCTAACAAAGTTGTGAAAAAAACCTCAAAGGAGAAACCATTTCCTGAGAAAACCAATCTTCTACAATTACATGGATCATTTTGGATATCATCTGGTAGCATGGCAGTGAACATCCCCCAAGCATTTAATACACCTCAAAAAGACCATAAGCATCAAAAGATCGGGAATAATATCTTGTGTCCTGATTTTTTAAAATTGTCATGCCGGCATATCAGTACTATAATATATCCATCTTCGTATCTATATCTGTGCTTCTTAGTAGATTTATGCGGACTCTACAAAGTTGGACTAAACATGCATTTTGGCTGTTCAGTACACGAGAGAAAAAAAATGTAGGCTTGGGGGGTGCTGATGCAGAATTTTAGCCTGTGAAGAAAGAAAAGTAAAAACTAAAATCCGAATCAGCAGACGTATGATTACCACAGCTCAGCCTAGTTTATGGAGGTAGGGAGTTTGCCATTCAAATGGTTAACTGGAGGGATGAGGCCTACGAAAATCAACCTATTTGAAATTGTTGAATACAAAACATCTATTACATTAATCAGAACATTCCATTCTTACTGCACAGAGTCAAAACTCATTAGATGATGATGCTCTGTCAGCTGATGGACCAGAGACCTATTCTTGAAACATTTTTGGTGATGGTATATGCTCCTGACAATATGAAAGAAGAAACAGGGAAGGTGGTTCCTTAAAATCATCACAATCAAACATATCTTTAACTTTACCGCATCACCAAACAATAAGATCACAACATTCTACAATTAATACAACAAATTCTTCAATTGAGTATAATTTGTGCTTATTGAGAAGCCAAAGCTTAATGAATGTAACAAATTCTCCAATTGCATTGAACCATAATATGACATAAAACAAACTACTTTCAACATAACATTGAAACAAACTAATTTCATCACAACATTGACTCTCTACAGCATGAGATGACCTAAAAAAAACCTAAATAACTCATTGGAAACACACTTCCAATAGAGTGGACTAGCATATACTATCAAAGGTCTTATGTTTTTTTGAAAAAACAAGAGCTTTCAATTACCCTCACCTCCAAGCAATCCGCATCAATTTCCACTACTCAGACCGGTTTGCGTACCTCTCCACATTCTTATCCAGATTCAGACCCACCATAGCCTCACCCAAACCACAGCTCACCTCAGCAAGCACCTCCGGATCGCTATAATGCGTGACAGCCTGCACAATCGCTCGAGCTCTCCTAGCCGGGTCACCGCTCTTGAACACCCCAGACCCCACAAACACTCCATCACACCCCAATTGCATCATCAAAGCCGCATCTGCTGGCGTCGCGACACCACCAGCAGCAAAATGCACAACGGGAAGCCGCCCTAGCTGTTTCGTCTGCATTACCAAATCGTATGGTGCAGCAATCTTTTTAGCGAAGGTGAAAACCTCATCATCATCCATGTTCCGCAAAACCCTAATATCCCCCATCACTGACCTCACATGCCTCACCGCCTCAATTATATTTCCAGTACCTGCAGAGATGGTTCAATCATTAGGCCACTTAATTGGTCACTCAAGACCGATTTTATTGTTGAAAGTTCCAATTTTTTAAGGATTAATTTCACTTTTATCCACTAAATTACCCTTATTTTATTTTTCATTTCATCCATAAACTATCAATTTCCTCTATTTGGTGCCTAAAGTTTCAAATTTAAGTTCATGTGATGCAATTGGTCCAATTAGAGACAATAGTTTGGCATCCTCCAAAAAATTCAAAAAGTCAAAAAGTCACTATCTTATTTAAGTCACATCATCTTATTTAAGTCACATCACCTCTCTAACACATCACTTCAAACCCAACCCAAATCCAACCCATATTTCATAAAAAGTCAAAAAGTGCACTTATTTAGTCTTCCCAAACTTAGCCTAATTTAAAAACAAAGATTATTGAACAATTTTAAATCATACAACAAAACACTCATTTTCTTATAATTTAGATCAATCAACACCCCACAACCAATTTGATGAGTGTTTGTTTATATCATTTAAGTTTTTAAAATTTTAAATTATATTTTTACTCATCAAATTAGGATTTAAGCATTACTAATTTGTACAATCATATATTCAATTGGATCGCATAGACAAAAATCAGAATCTTTAGGATTAAATAAACAAAACTAATAAATTAATGACGAAATAGAAAAAATAATAATAGTTTAGGGGATAAAAATTAGTTAAGACTATTTTTTAAATGCATGGATGAACAATTTTAGTATTATATAAAATTTGCAATTATTTCTTTTCTTTTCTCTTCCCAAGCTCTCCAATTTTGGAAAATATTCAAAAGTGAGTTATAAGCTATGTTACATGAATTCAGGTACAAGTATCAAGTGCGGGTGCGTATTCAAGCATTAGACCCTCATAAATTTTAATCTTAGGATCTTGAGATAGGTATCCAAAATTGAGTGCGAGTGTGTATCCAAGCGTCAGACCCTCATAAATTTGAAATACGTATCCAAAATTTGATATGGGTACGGAGACGTGTCATATATGCGTATATATTACATATTATATAATATTCTCAAATGAAATGTTGTAAATTATATCAAAATTTACTTGAAATTGAATAGAATTCAGGAAAAAATATGAAATTTTTATATCTAATTAATGAGAGAGCTAAAAATATTACTTTACTAGCAAATATGAGTTTCTTCTTCTCATATATTAACAAATTAAAGGATTTTAGTGTCTAAATTAGATATAAGTGTTAGACACATATCTCACACCCTTATCCATGTCATATCATATCATGTGAACACGGTAGTATTATGAAGAAAATAGAAGAGTCCATGTAACACAAGTTATAAAAGAAATAAATTTCTCTCATTTTTTTTTTCCTATTTCTCCTCATTTCTCTCTCTTTTAGTCAAAACAAAGTCACACAATCGAAATAACAAGCTGTAAAATAAATAAGACACCATTCTAAGAGGGTGTTTGATCTCATTAAAAAGCGACCTCTTTTTACAATTTTTTTTTATCTTCAGTGACTTTTTTTCAAAATTATATCAATTTTTTTTACTTTTCAAGTTCATCTTGTGTTGTCTTGTCTTGCGGAGACGAATTAAAACATAATTTTTTTAAAAAAAAACTCCCAAACAAAATTGAAACCAAAATAAGCCAACCAAAAAAAAAAAATCTACTATTTTTTACTTCTTTTTGTCTTTCTGAATTTTTTAAAAGTTTTTCAAATTTTCTATTCGTCTCGTTCAAACCAAATGTAAAAATCGAAAATACTTTTAAAAATTTTGTACGAGTTCGCTAAAAATAAAAAATTCTCCTAATTTTTTTTTTTTTTCCCTATTTCTTCTCATTACTCTGTTTTTAACAAATCAAACATGTAATTAGCACTAACATAATAAATAAATTTCTTTTCTTTTCTTCCCAAAATCACTCAATCCACACAAAAACAATCTGTAAAATAAGACAATCATTGTAATTGAGATTACCTGCTTCCCCTTTGGTGCGAATCATCGCGGCCCCTTCGCGAATCCGCCGGAGGGCTTCACCGAGATTCCGGCATCCGCATACAAAAGGAATTCGAAAATTATGCTTGTTGATATGGTTCTCATCATCAGCGAGAGTCAAGACCTCGCTCTCATCAACATAATCGATTCCAATCGCTTCCAGAATTTGAGCCTCGACGAAGTGGCCGATCCGAGCCTTGGCCATGACGGGAATCGTGACGGCGTTCTTGATCTCTTTGATCAGCTGAGGGTCGCTCATCCGAGCCACGCCGCCTTGGGCTCGGATGTCGGCCGGGACTCGCTCGAGCGCCATGACGGCGCAGGCGCCGGCTTCCTCGGCGATTCTGGCTTGGTCGGCGTTAACGACGTCCATGATGACGCCGCCTCGGAGCATTTGGGCGAGGCCGACTTTAACGGAGAAAGTGGATTTCTTTGCTTCTGTTATTGCGCCGTTTCCGTACACTGCTACTACTCCGGTTCCGGCCATTTTTACAGAGAGAGAGAGAGATGGGGATAGCGAATGGTGTGGGGGAATGAGTGATATAAATAAGAGTGGCGTTTGAATGGCTCCTGCCAAGTTTAATAGCAGTGGTAGCTCGTTTGGTTTCGTTTTTCTGATGCCTTCTTATTTTTTGTGTTTTTTTTATTTTTAATGAATTTTTTTAATATTTTAAGTAATTTTTTTAATTTTTAGATATATTTAAAAATGATATATGAATTTTGTATTTTTTTAAAAAAAAAATTCATTGATACAACAAAATACAAAAATATATTAAAATTTCCTATTCTTTTTGTATTTTTTGTATTTGGTAAATTTTTTTCACAAATATTATAATTTTTAGGTATATCTAAAAAATAACAAAAAATTGCATAAAATATTTTTTAAAAACAAAAAAAATGAAAAATAAATCTCAATTTTATGAAATTTAAAATATTTTTCACAAATTTTTTATTTTTTAAATACATCTAAGTAAGGTGCATCTAAAAAACTAAAAAAATGTTTAAAATTTTAAAAATATTCACTAAAAACACGAAAAATAAAAAACTCAATTTTCAAAAAACTTAATTCAGAAAACTTAAACTAAACACTATCATTGAGATTTGTTTAAAACCTAAATTGTTTTTTTTTTTAATTTTAAAAATTATAAATATTTTTTTGTTAAAATTTTTTATTTAATAAAATTAATTACAAAAATGAAATTTATAATTATCCTTTTATATAATAATAAAATTATCTAAATTATTAATTATATTTTTAATATTATTAAAAATTATTAATTGACTTCATAATTTATAATTAAAAGAGACGATTTGTTATGAAATTAAAAATTTCAAGGAGTGAAATGTGTGTGTGTGAATTTCCGACCACACTGCCAATCAAGCACTCAATTTGAGAACACACTCAGTTTGAGAACACTGGTAGAATAGATTAAGCTCGAACGACCTGTCACAAAAAGAAGAGATTCCGGCGATGGTTCGTCCATTCCGGCGATGGTTCGTCCATCCGGGGCACTCCGACGATCAAATCAATTATCTCTTAAAGATAGTAAAAGTACTTAACTCACTATTCAGGACATAAAAAGCATACCTTAAACCGGGTTGCCTCTCTTTTATAGCCAACACAATCCTAGTCTCAATAGAAGCCTAGCTTTAATAGACTTAGGATTACTGCTAATATTGGACTCCTAGTAGGATTGCGATAAACTCTCTCAGAGTCTTATCTTTATCCAAACTGAAATCCTCTCTTATTCTAGGACTCTTGTCCCTTATCCGCTTATCCCGAATTCCGGTATTTCTGCAGATAACCTCGGCCTAGCCGAGATTATCTCGGCGTCATGATCAGGACACGTGGCACCTCGGCTGGTATTTCGGTGACACCTCAGCCACGTGTTGGTACTCAAAAAATATGTCCCCACAAAATGTAATTTTCAAAATTACAAAAGTCATTTATATTTTAATCAAATCTTAGGAGTGTATTTATGTCATTTATATTTTAATCAAATCTTAGGAGTGTATTTATAATTTATTCTATTATTAAAAAATAATTTATACACAAATTCTTTTCCCCCACCAATTCCATGGCAATAGAAATGTAATTTAATATTATTAGAGACCTAAAAAGTTTATCAAATAACTTATATAGTAAGACATTTGATAAAAAAATTTAACTTTTTTTAATAGTATAATTATTACATTTTTAAATATTATTCTTTGACTTTTTTTAGAATATCAATTGTCATAATTATATTTTTAAGTATATAAAAAGAAAAGCAAAATAAGAAATTCATGATATTTTAGTTTTTAATTTTTTAAAATTGACTAATATTTTAAGACAATAAAGAATAAAATAATGGACTAATATTTTGAAAAAAAAAATCTTTTGAGTATCTAGCATTAATTAATTAATAACTCATGCTTATATACTTCTCTCTTCTCTCAAATCTCTCTAACCAATCTTACCACGGGAGATTTGTAAGGCAAAAATTGTATAAATGTAGCACTGATTATTATTATATTAATATTAAAATAATAAGAACTAATAATAATAATAAGAGGTTTTATGCCATAAGTACATTTTTAAATCTTTTAGGCCATTAAACCTATACTCTAATCTCTTTGAGCCAAAATGATGCAATTTGTCTAAAAGGATAATTATTTGTTAAATATTTGTATATCTGTCTATTTGTTGAAGTCAATCAATTTGTCTATTCATTGAAATTCACCAAACTAATTATTTGTTGAATGTTCCACATGTCCCTTATTCAACCCCTATCTGTTAAATATCACATATTTATCTACCTCATCCTGGCAGCGGTGACTTTTCCGGCATGTCCTGATCACCAAATAAGATTTTACCTTGAATTTAATGCCTTGTACCCTTTTGGGATGGACTTTCCACCAATTTTTTCTAATTTTCTCTAAAAAAAAAAAACAAATATATATATAGTGAAAAAAATGAAAGTATTTTTTTATTCATAATGAAAATGAAATAAATGTTATGTGAATTAAAATTTGAATTAATTATATTAAGATTCTTTCAATTATTAGTGAATATCAACCTATTTCTATATATAAACTCGTATATATTAATATTTCAATTATAAAAATATATCACTTTTAACAGTTAAAAAATTTTTCAAAATAGAGGTATTTATACAATTTTTTATAGTTGAAAAGTTCATGTAAAATAATATTTATTAATAGTTAAAAGAGAATTTAGTGTAATTAACATTTAAAACTTTAAAGGAGATTGTAGACCCACACTTTCTCTAAATTTAGGGGGGGAAAAAAAGGTTAGTGGTTGTCCATATATATATATTTATATTTTTGAGTTCACTCTAAATAAATTAAATTTGAGCGTATCTTAAAATTAATTAAAATTTAAATCAAGTTTAAATAATTTATTGTTTGATTTGTTAAAATTTTAAGTTAAATTTAAACAACTTATTATTTGATTTGAAATACTCAACTTTTTATTGACTCAATTAAACTCATTTAAAATCGACTTGAAATGTATACAAATTAAATTGAAACACAATTTGATATTCATTAATTTTTTTAATAATGTTATGTATTATCTATTTCTTTACCTTTTTATATTACCAAAGTATGTATCAAAATTATTATCTAATTTCATTCATTAATTCATTAATAATCGTATTTAAATAAAAGAATCAATCATAAATATTCATGTAAATAATAACACAAAAGCAATAATACATAGCATTTTTTTAAATTTTTAAATCAACACTAAAGGAAGCATGTGTGTGCCACTAACAAATAGCCAATCAAATTTCTCCTTGCTAGCACACAATGAAATATCATTATGTACATATACACACAAATACAGATGATAATGTTATATTTGAGTCGGAATTAAAAATAAAAAATTATTTAAGAGGCTGCGATGAGACCATTGAAAGGCGCCATTCGTTCTCAATCCTATGGACACTAGTTTTTCCTCCCCGTGTTGGACCTATATAAATGGACAAATTTGTTAACAAGTAAACATAATTAATGAATTTATTAAAATTTTGTTCATTCTATGTTTGATTGTGCATTTTATTTTTGTATTCATAATAAAATTATAATACATTATGTGAATTTGAAAAATTTTAATCTTTTTTACAATTTATTATCCGCTGTTTTCTAAATACATATTTATAAGTGTAAAAATTTAAATATAGAATCAGACAACTTATTTTTATGAGATATAATGAGAATGAGTCACATTCATTTAAAATATATATATATATATATATATGATACTGTAATTTATTTTTGTGCTTTAAAAATTTTTCAATAAAATAGATATGCATTACTTGAAGAGAGAGAGAGAGGTCTCCAACTTGCAATTTTCCATTGACTCTCAAAAAAAAAAACCCCCTGCATACCAGGAAGACAAATCAAATCTTTGTTCTCACTAATAACATTAATGTATCAAGAATGTTAAAAATAAAAATAAAAAATAAAAAAGACTTACTGTCACATCATTAATGATACTATTAGAGTACCATTTTTAGTGCTCTCAACTATTTTTCTTATAATTTTGTCCACTACTAAAGATATTAAATTCCTTGAGTTTTTTTAATAAATATTTTCCCCTTTTTTTTATAGTTTATTGAGATTGTGCCATTGACCATTTTTATCAAACAGTGTAAGCATCGTTACTTGGGAGTTACACAACTGAGTCCAAGGACAATGATATCATACATTCCACTTTAATTATTTCCTTTCACTACTTTCAACTTTCAAGGATATTAATTCCTTGAGTTTTTTTAATAAATATTTTCCCCTTTTTTTATAGTTTATTGAGATCGTGCCATTGACCATTTTTATCAAACAGTGCCATTGACCATTTTTATCAAACAGTGTAAGCATCGTTACTTGGGAGTTACACAACTGAGTCCAAGGACAATGATATCATACATCCCACTTTAATTATTTCCTTTCACTACTTTCAACTTTCAAGGAGTTTTAAAATAATCCTCACTCCTCCAAAGTGAAACGAGTGCACATCCTCTCCTTGCAAGGAATACGTGCGAGCGTTCTTGCAACGGTTGAGATTAGTCGATGCACATTCAATAGTTGAGATTAAAAAAAAAAAAAAATTTGAAATTTCTATTCAAATCCCGCCCGTTGCTAGTTATATCACTCAGCTATATTTCACTCAGCCTCACACGAAGCCATCCTCCTCCACCGAACCCATCCTCACCGGCGAGCTGTCCCCTAGACGGCACCGGCGATGACCAGTCCTACTATTCGCTGCTTCGTGAACCATAATTGTTTCCCAGGTTTGTATTCGAAACTCCTGCGATGTGAATTGGATCAAAACTCTGTTTTGGACCAATTTGAAAACTCTGTTTTTTTTTGGACCAATTTCGAAACTCCTGCACTATGAAATTAGAGGCACAGTACCTGTTATTTCGATGAACGAAACGCTGAAATTATCTCCTTAGGGTTGTGTGATTGAGATTGAAATTTCAAAATTAGGGATTTCACTGTGACAAAAATTAGGGCTTTCACTGTGAAACAAATTAGGGCTAACTGATCCAATCCAAGGGCAGAGAGAGAAAGTTGTTAGCTGCCCTGCCCTGCCCTAATCAGCGTCATCTTCATATCATATAGATGAACTAAGTGCCCATTCTGTCAAAGGCAAAACCAAATGATCAGCTTCACATCACTGCACAAGAGAGAATGTTGCTTATATTTTTATATTACAGTCAAAAGGCAATTATGTGTATTTTATCAGTTAATTTTTCACCAGAAAAAGCTATGTATCTAAAAATAAAACAAATCTTGTAGATTAGATTCAAATTTAGTGTGGTGTGAGTCATATCTAAAATAAATTTGATGTATACATTTTTCTCTTTGGTACTTTTTATTTTTTCCCACCTTATCCATTTTCTTATTTAATTAGTTACTGATGACCGCACTGAACTTTGGTCATGATATATGAATAACTTGTTAAAAAATAGATGTACAAAACATTAGTCCAAGACTTTGGCCATGATATATGAACAACTTATGTAGAAAACATTAGTCCAAGATGTGGGCCTCTAGAAAGAAGTCATAGGACCAAAAGATACATACATTCACACTATATGTATATATGAAAATAATAAGAAATTGAGAAATTATTAGATATTATTATGGTATTGTTTACTTGGTTAAATTTCAGGCCATGAGAAACTAGAAATTTATTCTAGCAGTTCTCATGTATGCAGATTTAAAAAATGACTTCTTCTTCTAACATTAGCAACATAAGATTACAATCGAGGCTGTGCAATTGTGGAGGAACCGCTGCCATACGTATTGTAAAAACCAATGAGAATGGAAATGAAGGGCGCTTGTTCTTTGTTTGCCCATCAAGATATGTAAGTTTGTAATTCTAGCTATTTTGTTCCTTTAGTAGTCACATTAATATTTGTCTTATTCGACTAACTTATTCTCATGCATTGCAGAGTAAGACTCCCACTCCCCATTGCAATTACTTCAAGTTCGTGGATGAAGATGATGACGACGTTACGTCCAGAGTCCGTTCGAACTGTACAGCTTGTGATGGTATTACAGTAGAAGACTTTAACGATGTAAGGGCGAGGCTTGATTACATGGAAATGGACTATGGTCGAAGGCTTCAAAGGATGGAAAGGAATATCAAAGCAATGGTGTACTTCATTGTATTTTCCACCATTTTGTACCTTATGATGTAACTTGTGTTATGGAATGAACTATGGAATCAACTATGGAATTAACTATGGAATGAATTATGTATTATCTATTTCCCTTAACTTGTAGCCTCAACTTTGGAATGAATGATGGAATTTTGGAACTTTGGAATGAATGATGAAATTTTGGAATGACTGAATGAATGATGGAATGAATTTTGGAATGAATGATGGGATTTTGGAATGAATGAATGAATGGAATTTTGGAATGAATGAATGAAGTACGGCACATCCAGCATATATGTTACCTGTTATTAATGACCAGGACCAGTACATTTGTTATCAATGACCAGCATATTTGTAGATTAAAGCAATACTTAATTGTTGAATGTGCTGCTGCCATACTAAGCATATCCAACATATTTGCTGCCATACTCAATATGCTGCTGCCATACTCAGAATGAAGCATTACTATGGCAGAAATGGTAGAATGAATGAATGAATGAAATGGTAGAATGCAGAAATGGTAGAATGAATGAAGCTGTACCACATGCAAGAAATGGTTCATGCTTAGAATGGCAGAATGAATGAATGAATGTTGAATTCTGTTACCATACTCAGAATGGCAGCAGCAAGAATGAAGCTGTACCACATGCAAGAAATGGTTCATGCTCCAGCTGAAGCATGAACCATTTCTGTTACCAGCTGAAGCAGTATAGCAGAACCAATACCACATACCAGAACCAGTAAACTAGAACCATCACAACCAATACAAACCAGCATACCATAACAGAACAGATGCAGCATACCAGAACCGCACAGAACAAAAATGAAAAAGGCTGGGACAGCAGCATAGCACAGAAGAAAAATGAAAAAATTGGAATAAATTTTATAACAAATGAAAAAGCCATTAACATCAACTGTCAATTAACATCATTAGCATACAACCCATTAACATTTGGCAAGATTCAACATGTTATGCTCACATTGGTCCATCAAAATTAACACATTGGTCCATACATACAAGCCATTAACATACAAGCCAGTAACATTTGGAAACACAGGTACACAGAGTTTGCTTCACAATTTGAAAACACAGTTTGCTTGTCTTTCTGCTTCACATTGAGCTATTATGTCTTCACTTTGCAGGCGAATTTCAGGATCATGTTGCTTGTCTTTCTGCCTGTCCATAGCCTAAAATGGAAAAATACAGAATTTTGCAAAATTTTCAGCAACTAAATACATACTTGACATACAAATTTCTAAAATGAAATAGCCACAATTTTCATCAACTACAAAATAAAAATACAGAGAGGACGAACCTGACTACACATTGGACTGTTTGATTCTTGAGAATATCGAAACCCAATGTCATATCAACATGAACCTTGAAATAGTGACTGGAATGTTGGTTAAGAAGAATACCGTTGAGGCATTGGATTTGGCAAAGAATTTTGCAGTACATACATCTCCCGCAAATTGTTCGCCTACAACAATGTCATATATTACGCTTCGCAATCATGGTTTGAGTCACATATTATATCCACAAAAAAATGAACACCTAAAATGTACTAACACTTACATGATATGTGGAATATGTCAATGGCGGAGGAATAGAATTATCACCAATGGCCAAAGATGGAGGAAGATGATGAATGAGAGGAAGAGGTTGAAGAGGAGGAACATGTTGCCGAACATAGATATCTCCTCCAACAGATAATGGAAAAAGTGAAACTGTTGGACTTGCAATAGATTGTGACGAAGCCAAACTGTTAGCACGAGATTTTTTTTTGGAGTTCACTACCAACGCCGCTTCGAACCCACCTTTGACCCTCCTTTTGCCCTTACTAGTTGCCATCTTTTTCTTCAATTCTTTTGGTTGCACAACATGATTCACATCTTCGCAATCCACTTCAACGCTTTGGGTGTCATCATCATTAATTACTTCATTTCCAACACCAAAATGAGCACTTAACTTGCCTTCAACATTTGCACCTAATGTAGCAAGATGTGTAATACAAAAATCATAAGTTTCTTCAGTTTCAACAGCTCTACTTGCTAGTGCTCTAAATGCGGTCATCAATGTCTTATACCGCGAGACTTGTTGGAATTTCACATCTACTTGAATGTCATTCCCCTTAATGTCCATCACAGTTTCGGCTCTTGCTTGTTTGGTCCACCTCTTCAGAATGTATTGTGGAGGAACTTCTTTCATCTTCAATATGTCTCTAATAACCTTCAATGAGTGACAACACAAGATTCCTTCCCTTTCAAACTTTGTACAAGTACAACCCAAAGAGTCATCCCTCTCCATCTTCACTTTCCTTGTATGTTTGTTACCAACATCAACAACTGTGTAAATGGTACTAGCCTCGCCATATTCAACTGCTTCTATGTCTGATTCAATGGATCGAAAGTACTCATTTTGAAATTCCTCAAAAATCTTTTTTGTGTAGACATTACCCATTTGAATTAACATTCTTATGGTTGCTTTCACCTTTGGCAACCTTTGGCATAAAGCATATCATGCTTCTAACTCCTTGTATCTCTTCTCGTACAGTACCATTTCGAAATGCATGAAGAATTCATTCAAGTTAAAATCAGAACGAATGTAATCCTTCAAAAGAGCATTAAAAGATTCACTGAGTTGTATGGTACTCATTCCCGCAGCCCATGTTGATCTAACGTAAGGCCAGCCCCATTTTTCTTTCACCGCAAAAGTCAATTTCAACCAATGGTTTTCATGCGCATCATATTTATCAAGCATTTTCGCCCACTCTAACTTCCATTGATTTGTATCTTCAATGTCAAAGAAGAATTTATTTAGTACACCCTTCACCCCCTTATCTTGGAACAAATAGTTAACATGTTTTAATGCATTTTGCATCAAATGCCAAGTACACAATCGATGAGTTGTGTCAGGCATAACAATGAGTATGGCTTTAGCCATTGCAGCATCCTGATCAGTGAACAAAGTTTTTGGTGCCTTTCCTGACATAGCCTCTAGAAAATTTTGAAACAACCATACAAACGATTCGGCGGTCTCATTATACAACAATGCTGCACCAAATATAACTGTTTCCCTATGATGGTTGAATCCCACAAAAGACGCGAAGGGTCTATGTTCTTTGTTTAACTTGTAAGTAGTATCAAAAGTGACAACATCACCAAACTAGGCATAATCCTTAATCATTTGGGCATCAGCCCAAAACATATTCGTTATTTGCTCTTCATTATCTAACTGGAAAGCATAAAAGAAGAAAGGATTCTATAAAGATTTTTGTTTAAAGTATTGCAACACATTGCCTACTTCCCCATATGCTAAACTTTGTTATCTTTTGGTTCTCAAATAATTTTTAGAATCTAATTTTGTAAACCCAAGACATTGCCTCCCACCAGCTTCCTTACCCATGAGTTTGAAAGACTGGCCCAAACGAAGACCAGATTGTGCCGCCAAATCTAACTGAATGCTTGGGTAGTCGATATCTTTCTTTGTGACGGCAACATGTGGGCACACTCGGGTGATACAAGATCATGGTCGTGTTTTTCTTTGAAATCAGCCACAACATATTTCCCAGTTCCCTCATCTAATTTGACATAAAGTCGAGCCTCACAACCGGTCCTAGTTTCGGCTCTAGGGTTTTTTGACAATGGGTCTCGTTTGTCACCCTTCCGAAATCTCTCCTTGTTGCAAACCAAAAGTCTACAAATAAGTTGGTTAGTAACTTTGTTCTTCCTACAAAAATCCCTTCTTATGCTAAACCCCATTCTTCCTCCATATATATTATAAAAATCATACACACATTGTTCAGAATCGAATGTCATTCCCTGTTTTGGCTTCCAAGCACAATCATTCTCAGGTTCCATATCCATATGAAAATGCAACTGAAAACCCATATAAATAAAATCTTAGCTACATAAATAAAATCTTAGCTACATCAATAAACACAATATTTGCACTATCATCAAAGAACCCACTGTCACACTTAGATAAAGAAATAAGAAATGAGAACTACATATCTTTAATTGATTTCTAAACTGAGACTGAATTGATTTGTAAACATCATCACATTGTAAACTAAATATCATTCAAGAACTAAATTGATTTCTAAACTGAGACTGAGATTGAGACTGAGACAAAATGATTTCTAAAAAATTCATCACGTTCCGGTAAAACCTTATCCGTTCACATGACTGATTAAATAAATTATGTTACAAAAATTATTTGGCAAACCTCTGATTAAATACTAAAACTGATTAAATAGAGTGAAACTGATTACATATAGTGAAACTGATTAAATAGAGTAATCTTCAAAATCTGTGTTAGACCAATGAAATCAATTCAACATATTTACTTTTAATTTGAAGATTTTGTTACAAAAATTATTAACAAATCAATTTCAGTAATCATGTGGGGGTGGTTTTAAAAAGTTCTTTTTAAAAAAAATATCAACAAAATTTTGATTACATACATAATTAAATACCCTATTGATTAAATAAAATTTTGATTAAATACTCTATTTCATTAACACAGATGTTGAATTAAAAGTAAAATCTATGATTTCAAAATCTGTGATTTTTTAAAGTAAATAGAGTAATCTTCAAAATCTGTGGTTTAACACAAAACAAATTAACACATTGGTCCATTAAAAGTAATCTTCAAATACTAAAACTGATTAAATAGATTTTGAAATCGATTAAAATCTTAAAATACAGATAATGTATATATATATATATATATATCTTCAAATACTGAAACTGATTAAAATCTTCAAATACAGATAAGATTTTGAAGATATTTGAACTGATAATGTATATATATATATATATATCTTCATATACATTAATTTCTGCATTTGGCAAACCTCTGATTTACAGAGGCAAAGGAGAACTGACCTGTGGCGTCGTTGGTCCTTGCAACGGCGTGGAGACTGGTTAGACTGGGTCGTCGTCTAGGGTGGGTTCGGACAAGAACCACTGAGTGTGTGTTGAATGAGTGTGTTTTTTTGTGTTTCCCCGATTGAAAATCTAAAACCAACAACTGACTGTGTTGTTTTGTTTTGGGCGGGAAGCATCGAATTTTTTTTATTTTTTATTTTTTAATCTCAGCCGTTGGATGTGCAACGGCTGATCTCAGCCGTTGCAAGGACACTCGCACGTATTCCTTGCAAGGAGAGGATCTAAACTACAGTGAAACCACTGCCAGCCCTTTGTACGAGGCTCTACCAAATACATTTTTAAAATGTTGTTTGGCATTTCATATTTCATATTATTTTACTTTTAATATTAAAAGGGATAAAAGGCTAAAATTCATTCATATCTACACCCACTCTTTGACACCATCTCCTCCTCCTCCAACCGCCATACCCCAGTGCCCTTGCCACTCCTCCACCCCCCTTTTTTGTCTGCGATTCTCTCTCCTTCTCTCTCGGTCAGAGTTGGTGGTAAGTTGTGACAGGAGTGGAATTCAATATTAAGGTTGAGGTTGAGAGGGATAAAAAGAGAAGGGTGGCCAAAGATGGTGGTCATAGCTGTGAAGGCGGCATTAGAGGCGAGAAGGGGGTTGTGGGTGAGAGATAAAATTGAATTAATTGAGGTATGCAAAGAAAAATAACAAAATTCAAATTTGCAAATTTAGTATTATAAAAAAAAATTGAGGTGTCCAATAACAATTTTGGGATTTATTTAAAGACTCCCTTTGTTTTTGGGTAAGTAAAGACTCCCTTTGTTACTCCTAACGTTCCTCAAATCTTATTGGGGGCAATACCTCTAACTCCCTTCTACAAGCAATTTTCCGTGAATTGACAAAACTACCCCTAAGTTAATATTTCTAATATGTTAGAGCCAATATGTGAGGAACATCCAAATCCAGAGACAGATTAATTAAACGCAGCCAACTAGAGAATCCATAATTTGATAGGTCAAAACTTTTCGCGTGCTTAAAAGAAATATACATCTAAGCATCACTTACAAAAAATGACTTCAAGCACTTGACACTTGAAAAGTACAGAAGGCTTGATCAATGTTTGCCCATCTAGTTTCCAATAGTATTCTAGCCACCTAGCATGGATCATAGCTTGAACAATGCAATGGTGTATAGACACAATCAAATGAATCAATCTACATCACAAGCTGTTATCCAAGTAGCGCTTCTTGGGGAACTTCTGTATGTTTGCTCAAACTGTAAATATCTTCCTCACCTTCTTCATGTTCCTCCGACAGATAGGGCAAGTACCTGCCAAGTCCGCAATCCTGCAGATCCAAATTATAGAGATTACGACAAGATTGTTGCAATTTGATTGCAATTTAGAGGGGCTTATTAAGGCTAACATGATTCATGACATTGCTGTAAGTTACAATTTTATTTATCAGAATAATATAAATTATCTGAAATAATTTTCAGCTTATGTCAGCAGTTGCTACAATATTGTTGGAGAAAGTCTTAAGGAAAAGCCTAACTCCAAGTTTCGAGTTTTCAATAGAATGTTCATCAACCTTGTCATGCACCCCAAGCCAAATACTAAATGGGCTAATCCCATAGACATTAGGTTAAATGGGAAGTACTTAAAACTACTTGATTGTCATCATCTAATTTCACATAGAGTCCTCAAAGTATGGTGATAGAAATCTATCTTGGTTTCAGCATGTGATTTATCTTTTGAAAGACTAGATTTTATGTTTAAGGTTAGTGAAGAAACAAGATACCTTGTTCCGCATGCAAAACAAGCCACACAGTGCCCACATGGAAGGAAGAAACAGTCCCTAGGAGCATCAAAGCAAATTGCACAGAGACGCCGAATGTTATTATTGTATTCACCATCTTTTAGTGGCTTCCCCTCAAGTGAACCCACTGCCAGCCCATCTTCAAGATCTTCGTCATCTTGTGAGACAGAATCATAAGACGAACCCCAACTTGACAGATCATCGTCTTTTTGTGTAAGTAGAGGAGCTCTCTCTGATCTCAATTCCCCAAATTGAAATCTGTTTCCTTCTTCATGGGTACATTGGAAATTGTTCAAGAAGTGGAAGGCCAACAGCATGAAGACAGTCATTACACCTAAACACAGCAAAAATTAAGAAAACGATAATATGCTTTTTTGTTTAAAGAATAAGACAAACAGAAAAGTATACCTATACCAACAAGATACGTGATCCATCGAGGTCCATAGGACAGTTTAACATACCACTGATCACTGGTTGTGCCCTGAGGGAACCAAAAATAGTATGAGGTAGTATATAACTTCCCGCTGGGTGAAAAACAAAATTGAAAATTATTCAAGATAGCAGTACAAAGGGAAAGGTGAGATGATGCTGTTGTAACTCATATTCTAGTTAAAACCTACAAGCTTGGAATGTCCATTTGATGAGATACTCCATGGTCTTTGCAACTTTAATGGCCAGCAGGATCTCAGATCAATATGTAGTTATTAACCAATGTAACTTCTAGACATCTTCCAAGAATACATAAGTTCTAACAAAGAGGTGGCCTAGAGTGGGGAAGAGAAGGAAAAAGAATTGGTCATTGGTGCATTTTTGTTTCATGTAGATCTATTTAGGGGGGAAGCAACAAAAGGACTTTTGATGAATAGAAGAACCACTTTTAAGCTGAAAAGTAGAATGTAATCCCTTCTGTATAGTTGATTCTTGGGCTTTGTTGATCCATCATTGAGCTAATTTTTGGACTTTGTAGAGACATTTGGACAAAGGTTTATGTATAGTAGTTTTAGGTGTTTTGTTTTGCTTTTGTTAGTGTATATGAGTGGCACCCCCTTGGTTCCATAGTTTTACTAAAATAAATATATATATAATTCCATTTTGAATCTACAATAATCTTTTGAAAATTCAGTTTAGCATCCATGGATGGGTGCATGCCATATTTATGGCAGAGGCCCAATCTCCCACCATTGTCTAATGTCACCACGGAAGACCTCAAATTCATATAAGCTGATGCTACTGCCTCACATATGGTTGCTTCCACAGCAGGGTGCTTATAAATACATCCATCAAATTTATCTTCACACCCATCCCTTGTGAGAGCACAGTCCTCAATGCATGTGAGAGGGAGGTAAGTACAGAGAAATTTTGGGGTGTACTTAAAATCACCCTCCACAGCAACCTACAAATTTAAATTAAAAGGGAAAAATCTGCCCCCCAAAAATTCAAAATGTCCACCAAAAGGAATCTCTTACATCCCCCTCTAATCAACTTGCAATCCAGCTTTTGATCTCATTCCCAATTCTCCAAACCTTGAAAACAATGGCAATAAGCTGCAACTAGTCACTAGCTAAAGAGAGGTTTATGAGCAAGTAATTTCCAAATATTCTAAAGGTGACAGCAATCTGAATGTGGAATGAGAGAGATGATGGCAGAGGGCTTGATTTCTGGCAACAGTCAATGGTTTAGTAGATATGGATGGTAAGGTAACATGGTTGATTGAGGGAATTCAAAATATTGTCAACATGGTCAACAACAATGGTAATGCGAACATTGACGAGTAGAAAGAAGATGGGAAAGTTACACCTAAAGATAACAGCCACTACTGGTGGGACAACCTCTTTTGACTTACCAAGGCAGATTTGCCCTCATTTAAATTTCTAGGGTGCTGCAGAAACAATCTTTTCTCTGGTGGTAATAACACCACCCTTAAATAAATATATATAATAATAAGATTCATGCATAGATGCCACCATATTTTAGGGTTGAGGGTTTTGTATAAAAGATGATTGTTAAATACATAGACTAACTGACTGAGAAATGCCAAAAGTAAAGCCTAGCAAAGGAGATTGTCATGTAGGGAAAATACAAAAATTATGGTTCATTCATCCATTTCTTTTAGGATGTTCCGTTTGACTTCAAACTGAGAGAAACAGTCAAAAGGTTACAAGGCTTACCTGTTCTGGACCTGGAGAGGTTAAGACAGCAGCATTTCCACTGGGGAAAAACATTTTCAAACTACAAGCACTGTGAGCCACAGCACAGTTGTAATACGCATCAGATGTATTATACAGGAAAGCCTTCAAGCTGATATTTAATTGCACCTGTTTGACACAGTTCAAGGCAAATGAATAGCACAAACTGGTGAAAAGGGAATAAAGCATCAGACTACTTAAAGAAGGAAACAAACTTCACATTCCACATTTACTTCTTCAACGTTCTTTTAAAATACACTTGTAGGCCAGATCAAAGAAAACACTTTCAGTTCATTCTTCCAACATTATAGGAGCAAAGATTGTTGAGGTCACCAAATCTCAGGTCTAGGCATGAAATCAGCAGGGTGTTTTCAATAATATGAAGGATAGATCTATTTCTTAGTCTTGGCCATCTCCAGGACCCATTACTAGTAATGGAAGAAACATTAGCAAGGAGGGAGCTTCCTAAGTTTCTAACCACTCTTTCACCAGACTTTATACAAAGGGCCAATTGGATGTCAATCGTCCAACCATAAAAAGGTCTCATTCCCATCCCCAATCATATATCTAATTAGAGGTGAGCCAAACCCCTTAACTTGAACAGCTTCCTAAATGTCCAAGAAGAATCCAATTGATAGGGACTTTGATTGGGTGTCACAGTGCACAACACCACTGGTCCAAAGCAACACTTCTTTCTACCCTTACAATGGCTTTCTCTCATCTTCCTCATGGAGTGACTACCATGTCAAGGCTTTATTTCTAGAACAGACTATCATATTAGCTTGTTGCCCCAAAACATACTCACAGTAGACTATAAAACCAAGTCAAAGGGGTTGAGTCAGTTCAAATTGTCTGAGTCAGTCTCTATAATCTTATATGACATGTTGAATGCATCTTTAAGGTTCACAACCTAGATGGAACCTTAGGCTCATGGAACATACAACAATGAGCAGAAGTTGCCCTTTAACATCCGCTAAGGAAATTATAAACACATTGCAGTGACACTCCCTCCAACTACTCTGCACAAGCACTCAAAACCAAGGAGCAAGAATCTAAAAGATGTTTTATTTCTAAAAATTGGAAATACAAGAAGCAACAGATCCATAAATTTCATTATCTTCAATAATTCTGTGGCAGATAATTGAAATCCTAAAATTTAAGCCAAAAGAAAGTCAATGGAATAAGAGACGAGTTACACATTACCTCCACTTCTTCCTGGTTCAAGTTACCCACTGCAACATAGTAAGTAGAAGACTGGAAAATATCCTGCTGGATTATACCACTTCCTGTAAATATGCAGTAACCTAGTTAGCACACAGTTCTACATAGTTAGGCATTTTTTTTAATTTTTTTTTTTCACTTTTCCAACTTACCATGAATGACATTCCATGACATGGTGCTATTAGGATATGATATGTCTTCAAGCCATTGAGCAAATCCTTCATTCCCTGCAATGTTTCAGTTTTAAAATTATGTTAAAACAGTAATTCCATATAAAATCAGCCCCAATAACATCTCTGTGCAAATAGAAGATACTAGGGAGATAACAAACAATTATGTCTGTAACATACAAAAAAAAGTAGCAGCATGTTGCAAGTAAAGCTAAGTACATTGTGAGACCAGTCGACTGCATAATTTACATAACTACATCAATTATCAAAACCATGATGAGGACATATGAAAACACCATAGCAATAGGATGAAATGTATGGAACAATTATGTATGGAATAATTTAAAATAAGAGGGCCGAGAGAGAGAGAATGATCGAAGAATAATTTCCTTAGACAATAATCTAGCAAAAGATGGACATGGGCCTCAGAGAGCTATACACTGAAAGAGGATCCCTATAGCAAAGTCCAGGAAAAAGCTGGGATTATTCGCAAGATATTAAAAAAAACATATCATTCAATTACCTTAAGACTTCCAAGCATGCCTTAAAGATATAATTATATGATTGTAGTGATGCATGAAAGTGGATAAAGTAGTAGTTCCTTGAAGAAGCTGGTCAGGAAGTGTAAACATACCTTGGGCAATTATAAGGATTAGAGAAGATGAGCTTGGAGAGTTCACACTGTACGAAATATTTATTTGAGACCCCTCATTCAATATATACACCCAATCCTATAACAAAAAGAAAAAGAAAAGAATTTACTCCACCACCTTTGACTTGAATATCTATGTTGCATAACAAAATTAACTAACTTGCCTTGTAAAGATGAGCTGGGATGTAGGTGCTCTGAGTTTCTGACCAAGTAGTTACAACATCACGCGGTGGCTCTTTGTAAAATCCATATAGAATAGGTCCATTGTTTGCTTCATCTAATTGCTCCACCTGGTATATTTAACCAACCCAATTCAGGTACCAATCCCGAAAAACAACTATGAAAGAGAAGAGAATGAATGCTATCAAATTACCTTTATAGACTCCACAAATAGTGGATTAGGTGTTATTAGAAGAGAACAATTAGAGCCAAGTTGTAGATTGACAGCACCGTATACCCCCAAAATCAAAGTCATTGAAACTGAAATAAAACAAACAGAACCCAACACCAAATTTAAGATCTATCAGACTCTCAAGCTTAACAACACAACCAGCATTCAAAAATCTATATTTAATAGCATTTCCAATCCTTCATCAAATTTGAAAAAAAAATGCTAAAACCTGATCCACCCATTTCATCAAATCTATATCAAAATCGAGGGGGGGGAATTTTTTCACCAAAGCAAGGATGAGCGAAATCTTTCATCAAATTCTCAACAGTCATATTTTTACTGAAATTTGATGAAAATTTTTTAAAAAAGGAAAGGATTTGAGATAGTTTTCTTTCATTAAAAAAATGTTTAAAACATGTTTTTAGGATGAAAAATGCTAGGGACCCCAAATGTTTTACCAATATTTCTACCAAATGTCTAGCATTACTCTTTTAGGATAAATTTGAAGTTCTCTCATTCAAACATCTACATTTAAGAGCATTTCCAATCCTTCATCAAATTTTTCATCGAATTCAAATTTGATAAAAAAAATTGCTAAATTGTGATCCACCCATTTCATCAAATCTGTACCAAATAAAGGGAGAGACAAATTTTTCACCAAATTCTTTAAAGTCATATTTTTAGGATAAGTTTGGAATTTTTTAAAAAGATTTGATGGGAAAAAAAAATTTAGAGCAAGATTGTGTGTGTTTCATATCAGATAATCAAAATTTCAAGCAAATTTGATGGAATAAATAAATAAATAAATAAATAAAATAAAATTTTTAAAAAAAGAGTAAGAATGGAAAATGTATAGAAATTGAGGACGAACCAAAGAACCAAAAGGTGAGGACAACAATGATGCAAGACCAAGTATCGTCTCTGATCAATCTCGATGTCTCTTCATCTTCAGTTGTTATTGGGTAGTGGACATGGTAACCAACCCCAGTCTGTCGCTGAACGAGCAACGACGGTCGATCGCCGTCGTCCTCCGCCTCTTCCGCCGCCACCTCCTCCTCCTCTCTGACCGGAAAGAACGAATACGACGTGGTTGGGGCGCCGGAAAACTCCCAAATGGTTGAGGAAGAGGAAGATGCAGATGCCGAAGAAGACGAAGAAGCTGATTGAGCAGCCTGATCTGTAGGCTCCATGAAAGAGAGAATCTAGAGAGAGAGTGAAAGAGGATTTTTGAGAAAAACCCTAATTGTGATTTGGGTTGAGAAGAATCCATGGAAGAGAGAAGCAAAAAGAGAGGTTGGTTTGAAGGACGAGTAACTGAAAAATTGTTGACCAATCAGTCGTTTCGACGTTGCGTGGGACTGGTAGTTGTGAATAGAGTCACGGTTAGGCGAGTTTAAATACTCTACAACTACAACTACAGCTACAAAAGTGGGGGAACACATGGGGGGTGCTTATTTGGATTATTTTAAGCTAACCAACCTATAATTTATAATTTTTAATTTTTAAAAAGTTATTTTAGACTGTTTAATTAAATTTATTTTAAATAATTTTAAATTTTAATAATTTATTTTAACTCAAAAAAATTGATTCTGAGAAGTTACTCACCTCTTACTTCTACGTGTTAATTTACGGTTATACTTTCAGATTTTTTTATTTTTTATTTTTAAAAAAATAGAAAAAAATCCAAATAGATTATAGATTGTTATTATTATTTTTTATAAGAAATATAGACAAATAGTGAATAACAAAAAATAAAAGTTAATTGAAGAAACTAATTCACAATTTATTTAACAAACTAGGGGTGTCACTCCCTAAAATTTGGACAATTAAATACTAAATTAAGACTAAACCTCAATCAATATTCCATCATCCAAATCTTAGGGTGAAACAAAAAAAATTAAACGCTCTCGTCTCCATAAGGTTAAATAAATTCCATACTCAAAAGATTACAAGGGATTAAAAAAAAAAAAACTAACAAAATGTCAACTAAACCGTTCACTATAAATTTCATAACTAACTAATACCTCCAACATTAAAGTAACAATAACTAATCAAAACAACTTAAATAATGCAAAGTTGAAAAATAACCTACAATGTCAAATTGTCAAAATACTAAGATCATAAAAAAAATAATAATAAATACAATAAACTAATATTAATCATAAGCTCAAGAAAACAAAAGAAATCCAAAAAACATGTTCAACAATTATAGTTATTCCACGTTACTATCGTAGCCCCAACTAATCCTGTAAAGAAAGTTCGGCTGCGCTCAAATAGAATGCACCCGAGATATCAAGAGACAAAACGGGTTAGTACACAAGTATACTGATATGAGTACAATTATTTGACACCCACGTGTCCACCAAACACAAATAAAAATACATTTATTTATGTTATGGGACATGACAAGTAGTTTCATCCGCACCGAGACTGATAGAAAACGTAAGGGGGTCGAGTTGAATGTTGGAGATTTTGTGTTTTTGAAGGCCTCGCCGATGAAGAGTATCATGCAGTTCGGAAAGAAAAGAAAGTTGGTATCTAGATTTGTGAGACCATACGAGATCAATAAGAAGATTGGTAATGTGGCTTACAAATTGGCCTTACAACATGCTTTAGCAATGATTTACAACATGTTCCATTTATCTTTATTGCGAAACTGTGTGCAAGGCCCTTCCCAAATAGTATCACCAGAGGTGTTGAAGATCTAACATATGTGGTGCGACCGGTTACTATTCTAGACCGGGATGTAAAGCAGTTGCGGCTCAAGAAAGTGAACTTGGTAAAAGTGTAATGGAGCGAGAATGAGAATGATATCACTTGGGAATTAGAAGAGAAAGTTGGCATATGTTCCTGGAGCTTTTTGCTTAGTACTCTATCCTATCGAATCTCGGGATGAGATTCTTTTGAGATGTGTATATTGTAGTGTAACAACCCCAACCCTTAATTAACGTTAATTTATGCTTAAGTGTGCCTAACAAGTAACTAAGAAGAAATCCTAAGTTAAATTGCATGTCCATCACATTATTTTGTGTTTATATCTGTTCAGCAAGGAAAGATTTGTTCTTATTTTCGTTTTGATTTGCAAATCGAGGTCCTTATCGGCATCTGATTTAGAAATTAACTTGATTTATGCGTTAGTTAAAATTTTTAAAGTCTTATGGTAGGTTTAATCGAAATTCAATTCAGAACGATTAAATTAGATTAATTTAATACACATTTGATTTATTTTAATTTATTGCCACCAAGTGAGCTCCTATAAACCCCCCACATGTCCCACTCATCTTTTCTTTCCTTGATTGAGAATACACTCTTGAGTTATACAACAAAAACGTGTGAGAGAGAGAAAGGGAATGAAGGAAAATTGAGATCAAAAGCAAGAGAAAATGGGAGATTGCTAGGATTTGATGGTGAATTGAAAAGAATTTGAGAGCTATAAATTCAACACTTGTGAATCCAAGTCTCTAGGTAAGGAACCAAACTCTTAGTTATGTAATTGAGTTAGATTTTACAAACTTTGAGTGAATTAGATAAATTCATGTTGGATTTGAGTTTAAAATGTAGAGAATTAAGTTATTCAATACATGCATGCACAAATTCCCATGTTTTGAGTTCATTCTTCAAGAATTCCCCCCATGCATGTTTGAAATTCATCTTAATTTAGAGAAATTACCAAGTTTCAAGTTATTTTGTAGCATTTGATCATGTTTTGAGAAGCTCAAGCTCAAGAAAATTCATGCATGTTATGTTCATGAAACATTCATAAAGTTTAAGTAGAATTTTTGAACAATTGGCATGCTTTTGGGCCTTAATTTCATGAAATGATCTTTAAAGCATAATATTTTGTAAGTTTCTAAGTGTTTTCCAGAATTTTTGTCACGACCCAAACCCGTCCCTAAGGATTTAGTATCGTAACCAGCCAGTAATCCGTGATTACCAAATGCCTGCATAACAGTAATAACAATAGTACAGAGTAAGGGGCTGGCGAAAGCCAAATAATAAATAAAAGATGTCTAATGAGCTGTGAAAAACTGAATGGAAAAAAACTTTTATGGACTAGTCCATATTCAACAATAAACATATTTACATATCGGATACACATAACATACGGTTAGGGATCCAATCCCTTTTACCATAACTGTAGAGTCAAAGGTCATAAACATTCATTACATAACAGAGACAAAAGGGTGAATCTGGAACACCCCAAGCAACCTTGGCTTGAACAGACTCGGAACCTCGAAGTGAGGCACGATGGTTGGCTTGACAAAACGTGAGCTTAACTTGACGCTCCTAGCTTCGGTCTGGTGTCTGGCCACCTACATACATATATAAACAGTGAGCTAAAACCCAGTGAATAACAACTGTGTAAAGGGGTTAGGAATGAACGTCCTTTCAGTAATTAAAACAGTCATTTGCATCAGTAGATCAGTTATTCAATCAGTGGCTCATATTTCATGCCATATCAGTCAATTAGAAATCATAGCAATCATACGTGGTACATCCAATAGCAAGACAGTACAGTAGGTCTTAATAGACCGAACAGTCAGTTGATGGCCATCAAAACAATAAACAGTAGTAGTTCCCAACATCGAACCTAACAGCGATCTCTGTAACGGTAACAGTAACAGTAACAGTACCATAGCCATAACAGTAACAGTAACAGTAAGTTGCTATGGATGCTACGAGTACAGTTTACAAATAGGACAAACATTCATTCAGTAAACGGTGTCATTTCAGAAAGCAGTACAGTCAATCATTCAAAAATAATTATAATTGAATGTATCTTTACAACATTGTTATTCACAGATTGCTAGGCTATAGACAGGCTAATCAGCGTCCTCGGGTACCAACCCTACACAGTTGCAGAATGAACACACACTAAATTACACACTTGGGATTAATAACTTAGCCCCTATCTTGACTTGGTGTGGTTCTATAACATTATCCTCGCTAAGATGCCTTAAACATGGCCTAGAAATGTCTAGGATGGAATGAGGATGCAAAAAAGTACTTTAAAACACTTTTCAAAATTTGTTGAAAACAGGGGTCTCGCTCGAGCGTGGTTTTCTCCGCTCGAGCGAGCTTACCAAAACAGAGGGGCCGCTCGAGTGTAGACTCCCTCGCTCGAGCGATCTGTAAAAATGCAAAAAATACTGGTTGCTGAAATTCTCCGCTCGATGCTCACTCGAGCGTGAGACACAGTTCTTCGCTCGAGCGTAGGTCTCGTCGCTCGAGCGTGCGCCTGCACATGCAAAAACCTGAGAGCTTGCAATCTACGCTCCAGCTAGCATTCCGTCGCTCGAGCGAGAGTCTGAGAACAAAGGTAGTCGCTCGAGCGTGGAAGCCAAAATCTGGGTTTTCCAGATTTGCTTCCAAAGCTCAAACCAAGAATCAAACATGCCAAAACTCATCCTTTTTGGCCAATTTTCTGGAAAACACTTAGAAACCCATAATACAACATGTTTTGAAGATCATTTTATAAAATCAAAGCCCAAAAGTATGCTAATTGAACACAAATCCAAACCAAAATTCAAGAACATGATGTAAATATGCCATGCATGTGTTTATTTGAATTCAAAGCTTCTAACACTTGATCAAATGAGCCATTCATCCCAAAAACATGATGAATTTCTAGAGTATAACCACAATATGGACATGCATGCAAGAATTTCATGAAAACAACCTCAAAATTCTATGATATGGACATGCATGCATGAATTCACTCTCATAACCAAACTTTAAGCTAATTCTTGACTCTAATCACCGTGTTTATTTGAATTCAAAGCTTCTAACTTTGATCAAATGAGCCATTCATCCCAAAAACATGATGAATTTCTAGAGTATAACCACAATATGGACATGCATGCAAGAATCTCATGAAAACAACCTCAAAATTCTATGATATGGACATGCATGCATGAATTCACTCTCATAACCAAACTTTAAGCTAATTCTTGACTCTAATCACCAATTTTCCATGAACTATGCATGAAACAACTTAAATTCATAATTAAGAGAATGAGTTTCCTACATTAAGTCTTGAATTCCAAATGTAGAAGTGTAGACACCCCATTTTTGACCGACCTTAAGATTCAGACGTCGTCGATTGAGCGCTCGGTGATAGTGCATGTTGTGCTTGTTTAGGGTTTCCGGAGTTTTGGCTGAGAGCCTTGCCTCCGGGCCTCTGAACTCTTTGTGTTTTGGCTCGGTTTGCGGACCAAACCTTGTTTCTCTTCCCTAGAGAGAGGGGGAGGTCTGGTAGACCACCTCTTTGTGGTTGTAGACCATTTTTCTCGTTTGGAGACCAGTTTCCGATATTCGGAGCCTTCGGCTGTGCTCCTTGA